CATCTTCATTTGTCATCATGTGCTTGTATCTACTCAGTGCCTGCACCATAATGTCCTCTGCTGTAGTCCAGAGCCCAAATGCCATCTCCTGGATTGCAGATGAAGGACAGCTGGGTGAAATGGTATGCATGGCCAAAGGCCACATGGCTGGTCCATGGTACCATGGCAGACCAGAGACTTGATCCTGGATCTCAGGCTCTGAATCTATTTTCCTCTCAACTTGCCTGGAGGTGGAGGGCTGCAACAAAATGAATTTTTCTTTCTTTCTTTTTTTTCAAATGACCACCTTAGAGTTGATCCACATCCAACAACTAGGTTAAGCGAAGAAGAGCTAACCACATCTTTTCATAATCTTAGATGTCAAAAATATTCTTCATGTTTAGAAAAGACTCAGCTCAGAAGAAAAACATTTATTCTCTCTTAATTGTGTGTTTAAGCTGCAGCTAGAGGAATGGGACAAAATAAATAGGGAGAGGACTGGTTATGTGCTCAGAAAGGCTGTGGAATCTCTCCTCTTGAGATTGCTTTTTTCCTTTTTTTTTTTTTTTTTTTTGTATAAAGCAATTGCATAAACACTCATCCTGGAAGGATGTTTTAAATGTGACAAAAAATGGACTCTCTGCCCTTTCGGAATTTCTTTTGGCCTTATGATTTAATGGCATTTGGAGAATTTGGGCTTATCGTATCAACTGGATGAATGGTTTAGTTGCCTCATAGAACAAAGTAATGACAAATGTTTTGTTGGTGAGTTCTGCATCAAGCATTTGCAGCTTGACAGAGGTGCATTTTCTTAATGTTCACTTGAAAATTTCAACTACAATGTGGTTCTATTTTTTAGTCTTTTAGATCACTAGAAGTAACTAAAATTCTGGATAAAATAACTACCCACCCACATAAGGAAGAGATGCAGCAAGACAGTTGAGACCAGATCACCTGGAGGTCTGTCATATAGAAGCAAAATTTAATACAATCCTGAATGTTCAGTGTGTGTAGGGCTATAAGACCAAAATTAACCAATTAAAATGATCCACACCCACCAATGAGGTTAAGGCAAATGGAGCCAATCACATCTATTGGAGAGAAGTTCTGGTTTTGTTATTTTATAGTTTGAACTTTCAAATTCTGAATTAGTCCATAATACTTAGAAAAATAGTATTCTCACATTAAGGAAAAAATGTAGAAGAGAGGTAACTAATTATTAGTAAATTAAAAAAAATTGCAGGCAGAAAAGACTTTAAGAGGGAAATGTGACAGATAAAGATAACTGAATAATTTCCACACGAAGAAGGCAGGCATATTTTTCACATATACAGGATGCCAAAGAGGGCACAGAGAACAAAATTTGAACACATTAGCTCTACTACACACACAGAGAAGCCCCCCACGTTAGAGCGGCCTGACACATTCCATATGTTCAATGTAAACTACACATAAGCAGCCCTTCTTTTTCCTCGGCTCTCAAGAAACATACAGCTTTTCTGGCATGAACAGTTGACTTATTAGGTCAACCAGAAAAAGCACATTCATGAGACTGAGCGGTACTGACATCTGTGGGCAGGCAGGCATTTTTCTTAGTCTTTAATCAGCTCCTCTAGTGAACGTCAGACATTGATCAACACGTATCCAGACCCTGACTGGTATCTGCATATCGGCTGTTTACAAAGTTCTTCCTTGTGACACTTTATTGACAAATTTTAAAGACTTTTATATAGAAATGAGTTTACTAGAAATTCATGTTGTACAAGGACTTTATGTACACTTACACCTACACTTAAAAGCACTACAGCTCTCTACGAATATGGACATGTCCGTACAATAACCTTTGAAACATAGTAGTGGTTTTCTAGAAGAGTTAGGAGTTGTGTAGTAGTTATGTGACTTTTGAACTGGTTTTTTAGTAGCAGCCTTGAGTCATCGGGCAAAAAAGTAGGAACATTTAAGTAGAAGTTCTTCCTATTTGCTCACCAGAATGTGCTGAGTATCTATCTGTATGATGCTCACAGTGGCGCACCCCATGCAAAGGTATTAAGATGAACATATTGGGTGAGAAAGCGCTTACACTGGGTGGCAGTACCAATGTACCGTAATCACACAGGCGGGTACTAATTGGCTGTAGAGCTCAGAGAGGGCCTAAGGGAAGTAAGAGGAAACAAGTTGTGAGACAGGAAGAATGGCTGGCAGACAAGGGTGGGCACAGAAGTCTGGACACCAAAACAAGTCAGGTCACGATGTCACCGAAGAGACGTGCATGTGCAAGGATGACATGGGGTTTTTAGCTTTAGTGTGTGGTCTTATATCAAACTCCAACACTAGAAACACCGCTGGTCAGCAGGAGTAAAGCACTTCACACTAACCGAGGAGAGTCCTTGTTTGCCGCACAAACTGGCACTGCCCACTGCCAGGGCCAGGACGCTCAGAAAAAAACGAATCCAGCTGGTAAGAATATTAAAATTAGAACTATCTTCACCTCACTATGCTCACCATAAATCACTGTTTTGAGTGGCTCATTTTCAGATCTGAAAGTGAAACAGCTATTACAAAAAAACCCCAATTTTTTAAACCTCTCCCTAAACTTTTAAGCTTCATAAAATACATATAGATTTCAGGGAGCAACGCTACAGCAATTAATAGAACTTTTTTAATTGTAGAAAGTTGTCAGTGTGTTTGGCTCCTCTTAATGACATTCAAAGACAACAACCCTGTGTAATTACCAGCCCACATTAATGCAGTTCTCATGGGGGTGCCACAAAAAACCTGCACAGTCACTGACAGGGAGACGGGAGGACAGAGCCCAGCCAGAAAGATGCCGCGAAACTTAATCACTGTAATTTAGATTTTGTCACCAAGTCCCAGGTACAAGTTCTTTTATGCACTGTCAAGAGATCGCCACATTAATTGCTGTTCCTGTCTTCCGAAGACACAAACACTCTAATTTGCTGTGATTTCGGTTTCTCTAGCAATGTGTATTTGGTGGCTCCATCCCCTCTTCCTCCAGAAAAGGCAGGCTGGGAAAGCTCTGATTATCCAGCTCACTCTGCCAAGATCAGCAGACTGCATCCCGAAGCTTCCCCGTTACCAGTCCGGAGACAAATGTGACTCAACCAACATCAGTGGGTGGGAAGCCCTGCCACCTTCCCTGAAAGGCCACATTCTTCTCTTCTCTAGTAAGTTTGACTTTCAATAGGAGCGTTATTTCTAAATGATGCTTTCAATGATTCTGCATAGCCAGTTTGAAGCAGAAAATTTAGATAATCCTTTGAGGCCTTCAGGCGCCTCCAGTCAGCACATTCAGATAATGCAAAGCCAGGTGCTTGCTTCTCCCAGGCTTTGTAAATCCCTGGGGATTTGTTGGCTAACGGCACAGCCTCAGGTCTCATGCTTTGGGTTCAGGGGCCTGGCTCTCTCCAGCCTTACTCCACGTGAGACAAGACCTCCAGAACCGAATTTCCTCTGCCATCGAATCAGACCAGAGACACATCCTCAGACAAAAGACCACTCTTAAGAAAAGGTACCGTCCTTTCAAAATGAATTATTGAAAAACCAAAGAAATAGGAGTCAAACTAAATCTAGAAACAACAGAGAAACTATTCCGACCTGAAAAATGTCCTAAGTCAATGCCCTACAGTTATTGAGAAGGGGAGGTACCCAAAACAGTATGCAAGTGCCCTAATTCTGTATCATGTGATTCTATGTCTCTATAATTATGGCATCTGATGCTCAGCCTTCTTGTCCTGATTTTCCAAACACATCTCTTTATATCATTTGAACCAAACATTTTATTTTCTGAATTGTGGAACAGTAACAGGATGCCTGGTACTCAAGACTACTGAGACTATTTTCCCAATTTCAGTTTTGCTTGGGGGCATTGGAGTTTCCAGACCTCTCATGATCATTTTTTCATCTGCAATGTGGTGGTGGTAAACAGAAACAAAACTTCTGAAATGCTTCCTACCATAGGGCCTGAAATTTTAAAAGAAGGGAAGCTCAATGATGTTATCCGTAAGAATATAGACACAAAGAGAAAACCGGATATTTAACTGATCAAGTTAAATCCAAATTAAGTAGTGGATGTCCTCTCATTAAGGTTATCTGGGGTTTACTGACAGATTATGTACCTAGATTCCCCTTTGAAAAATAAAACTACATTAAGCCTCTCTAGTATTTTTCCTTAGGGCATAATAGTAAGAGAGACCCAGAAGACAGCAAGGTGAGATACTGTCACACAAGTTGATAGGTGACGGACAACAATGAGAAGTAAGAGGAGAAACCACCTCGGAGATTAACGGCCTGCGAAGACAGCAATGGAATGTTTCCTCCCTAAAAGGAGGAATTTTGTCATACTTGGGGTTTTAGGCTCACATCCAAAAGAGGAAATGAAAAATAGTCTTTATTTTGTCTAGTGGAGTGATCTCCAAGGATACAAGGGGATGTGTACTTTCCTACTCTGAAAGGTAGATGAGCTGTGTCTAATTTTAGCAGCACTTTCCTGTTGGGCACCTTCCCCCTCTCAACACACCGCTGTCAGGAGCCGATCACTGAAGAAAAATCACCACTCGACATCGGGCAGGTGATGCTCTCGGACAGGGAGGCGGCGTCTAGGACGATCTCGGCGTGGAAATAATGCACTTAGTCTCAGGAAAGACCCCTTTTCTTTTAAAAATACGGTCAGTGTTTTTTAAATATCTTCAAAAGGCTGTCCGTCCCAGTATATATTCTCTATCACTAGCTGAAAATTACAAAATTCCTCTCTAATTGTGGTACACAGGAAACTTCAAAAAGGTCAAATCCAACTTCACAAAAAATACATCTGCCATTTTGTCCACAGTCTAAGGTAATACATTAGGATTATAGGCATTAAATATGTAAGTACAATTGTCACTGCATGAAAAAGCTCCTTTCCTTATACACTAGTGAGCAAAGTGAAGTGGGATGAGACCAGGAAACGCGACTTAGGACGGGGCTGGGCATTGGGGAGGCAGCAGGGAAGGGCAGTTAGTTACCTGGTGTGGGAAGCAGCGTCGTTGATACTGAAAGTGCTGTTCTCCCTTGTCAGCGGGTTCGAGCCCGCCTGGCTCTTGCTGTGGAGATCCAAGCTCAGGGAGGACTCTGTTTTCCGGTCCATACCATGACCCTCTGTTTCTAAAGTCCGATCTGCCAAGGAGATCACTTCACTGGAGCTATGCCACAGAGGTGCCACTTTCTCCTTGCCTGGGCCCGAGCGTGGTGACGACGTGGCAGCCCCCAGGGAGGCCGTGCTGCCGTGGCTGGGGCCATAGGAGGTGGTGTCGATGCCACTGTCAGCGGAGGTGCCTTGCAGATAGTTATAGCTGTTGAGCTCGGATTCTGTGCGGTCCCCATCGTACCACTTCTCGTCACTGTGGGCACTCGAAGCGTTGCTGGAGAGGGTATTGCTACTGGAGTGGCTCGAGTAGTGGCTATCCGACTGCAAGGGAAGCAGGATTTACTTGAGTAATTTACTTGAGGTTCTGCTTCCCGAACACCAGGAAACGATGGGAAATGACACGGATTTGTGTCTAGGTACAGGGTTCTCAAGGCATAAAAGTTCCAATAACGACAAGTCAAAGTCCAGAGTGCCCGGAACCTCTGTGACTCTGGCCCATTCACAAGTGTCCATGGCAGAGAGTGCCGGAATTTTTTTTTCAAATCCATTTTTCATTATTTGACTTATGCTAAAGTGTCAATAGTATTGAAGTCATTTTAATCAGGAAGAAATCCAAATTGTCATTAAAAATAGAAAGGAAATGACATTTCCAAAGAGCTTATAATTAGAAAGCATGCTTGATTCTAAAAGCCCTACTTGCTCAGAGTAACTAAAAGGCTGAACATAAGATAACTTCTAAAGAGATCTCCTTTTGCCTCCCCAATTAACATCTATTTAGGGACAGTCTTCTAAGGCATGCTTAGAGGTAAAATTTATACACAAGTGCCAAAACAATTCAATGGGAAAACAATTAGTCTTATTAACAAATGGTGTTGGCACAATCGAATATCCAGATGCAAAAAAGAATGCAGTTGGATCCCTACCACATAGACAAGTGAACTAAAAAATGATCAAGGATTTAAATCTAAGAGCTAAAACTACAAAACTCTTAGAGAAAACAAGTGTAAGTCTCTGTGACTTATACCTATGGAAGTTAATACAATGGTTTCTTAAATATACCAAAAGCATGAGAAACAAACAAAACCCCAGATAAACTGGTCTTCATCAAAATAAAAAACTTCTGTGCTTTAAATAACCCAATTAACAAATGGGTAAACTATTTGAAGAGAGATTTCTCCAAAGAGGATATATAAATTCCCAACAAGCACATGAAAAGATGTTCAATATCATTAGTCATTAGGAAATGCAAACCAAAAGTACAATGGAAAACCACTGTACGCCCACTAGGATGGCTATAATAAAAAGGACAGACAGTAACGAATGTTGGCATTGTTGGGAATATAAAACAGGGTGGCCCCTGTGGGAAAACTGTTGCAGTTCCACTCTTGTTATACACCCAAGAGAAATGAAAACGTGTTCACACAAAAACTTGTATATAAATGTTTATAGTAGTATTATTCATAATAGCTAAAAAGTGAAAACCACCCAAGTGTCCATCAACTGATAAATGGATTAAAAGAATAGGGTATTATCCACACAATGGACTATTATGCAGCTGTGAAAAGGAACGAAGTACTGATCTATGCTACAACATGGATGACTCTTAAAAACATTATGTTCACTGAAAGAAGCCAGACACAAAAGGCCACATATCATATAACTTCGTTCACATGAAATGTCCAGAATAGACAAATTCAGAGAGATTAGATTAGTGTTTTCTCTTAGAGGGGATGGGAAGTAGTCAGGGGTGGTGATGAAGAGGTTCTAGAATTAGATTGTGGTGCTGGTTGCACAACTCTAAACCACTACATTGTACACTCTATATGGGTGAATATTATGGGATGCAAATATCTCAATTAAAAAGATGTGTACAGAACCCTTTCTACACAGCTCACATGCTTAGAACATTTGATAGAGTTTGCCAAAGAAATAATATTTTAAAAGATATCTGAGTGAAATAATATTTTAAATGAGCTGGAGATTAAGAGAAGGAACCGTGTGTGTGCGCGTCTCTGGGGAGGAAGGAGCATGCTCTCCACTGGCCAAGGGCAGGGGCCAGAGGAGGACAGCATGCCAGTTTCACCTCCAAGTGAAACATCTCTTCCCCTTATGAAAAAAATCAATCCCAGTTCCTTTATTGGTGTTACTCTAGTTTTTCTCAATAACAATTGTTATTGTTATTGAGCTTTCATTTATTCGTTATAGTTTTTTCGTGTTATTCGTGTTATTCGTTATTCGAACATTTATTCGTGTTATTAAGCTTTCATTTATTCGTAATAGGGCAGAAGTTCTTTAGCTCTGGGTCTGTACTGTTGAATCTGGGAGCCCTTAGCCATGTGTGGCTACTCAGTACTTTCGATGTGGCTGCTTTGAATTGAGACATACTGAGAGTACAGAGTATGTAATAGATTTCTGTAGGAACATAATGTGAGCCACATATATAATTTAAAATTTTCTAGTAGCCAAAATTTAAAAAATAAAAAAAACCCAAAAAAACCTGATGAAATTAATTTTAACAATATATCCTATTTCACCCAATCTGTCCAAAATATTATTTTACCATGTAATCAATATAAAAATTATATTAACAAGGGAGGGGAAACTCACAGGTCTAGTGGGACAATCTACCATTTGTGGGTAGAACTGTGACAATATCACATTTCCCCAGTAAATCTCTCTCCACAGAGTAAAATGTAGGGTGTGCTCTCTTGAGTTTTTGATTTCAATATTCATTTCTCTAGTGTAAAACTTACATAAGCCTTCTCATTAAAAGTTCTCTGGGCATCTTATAAATTAGTGAACATGAACTACAGTATTTCCTCATCCAATAGAATGACAAATATACACATTCCAGTGAACAGACAGGCCAAGGAATCTAGTGCAGTGTAAAAGGGGGGTGGAGAATACCCTGGTATTCCCAATCCCACCCATAAATGATCAGGAACTGTCTATTACTATGGTAAAAGGGTAAAATGTGTCCCGCCATGGAAGATAAGAGAAGCAGTATGGGGTATATGGGAATCTGTCTGCCCCCTGGACTGGTTCTCCAACCAGATCTCACGCTTGCAATTGTGTAAGGAAATAAATATTCTAGCACATTTTTATTCCTAATGTTTTAGGATTGCTTGTGATTGTTTTAGATGATCTTACAGCCAGAACTATGGGGGTGGCAGGGGCATACCAACCAGGAATTACAATTTATCTCAAAGCAACCATAGGGCCATGGCAGCAGAAATTACAAGGCCATGACAGCAAACGCCTACTCTCTGTCAGGATGACTTCCTCTTTGTGTAGAGAGTGGAGCAGAGACCATGTACCATTTTAACATTGCAAAGAAGGTACATTGCTAGGAATCTATTATTTTTATAAGTTTACAGTTAACTTACATGGCCTTGTTTGTTTGGAGACAGATGAACCACGGGATCCTGCCGCATTAATCTCCCACTGGGGCTCTCTCGGAAAGCTGGCAGTACCTTTGATACTGCTGGGAGATGGCACGTTGGCTCTGGAATACAGCATAGGACATTATGGTGCAGGCACCAAACAGATACAAAGCACATGGTGACAAATGAAGATGGCTTGCCATTGCATCTTTCAATTCACTGACCAGCAAACTCTGCATTTCAGCAGTAAGCTTGTTAGGAGTCTGCACAATAGACAGCAGGTCAGAAACTAAGTGGCTGATGGATAAAGCTTGCAGCTGGTGACAACGTGTCACGTCATACACATTAGCATAGCCAAGTACCACCAAACCAAAGGCCATGGAACAACACAGCAAAGTTCAGAATCAACTTTTGGTTTGGGGGAAAAGTTTAGGTCATATGGATTAAATTTATGAAATTCATTCATTGCAAAGTGTGGCTAACCTAGCTTGGTCTACATTACCTAGACAGGCATGGATGCAATCATGTGTTACTTACCATGACACTTTGGAAATATTTTACCTGTATATTCATGCTGCTCGAGGACAAAAGAATTGAAATCCTGAGGTCCTCTATAACTGTAAGCTGAGCACAACAGAAAAGACACACAGCAACTAGTTTACTTAAAACAATTGCTTCCTTTCGGACTCCAAGCTGGTGTTAAAGATGGGGTTCCAAAAGTGAGAGATAAAGGATCCTCTTTAACACAAGTATAGCTAACAGCAAGAATTCCTGACTTCCGCAACACCCTTCCTAATGGGCAGTACACTCCTTGACTCTGAATCTCAACCATTTCCAAGAGCAGATAGGCAGGAAAGCAAACATCCAGGAGATGTGTGAGCCAGTTCAGCAAGCTGAAGTCCTGTCTCCACTGCCAGCAGGGTACCAGCTGATAACACACTGATACACAAAGACAGGTGGGTCTGCCTAGCAAATAACAATCTCCTCAACATTCTTATTCGCTGCAAGTCACCAGAGAATGTTGTTCTTATCAAGTGAGTGTAGAAAGGTCAGTCCTTTATATGCTCAATGGTGGGTATTGAGAAATGAAAATGCAATAATTATTTTTCTTGAATTCTCCCTACAATGGCTTAGACCAACTAAGCCTTCTGATTCTTTCTGGTGTGCCAATTAAGAAAGGCTGGTTTATTCTCCTGGAATGCTGGGATATTAAGAATGATAAAATTATTTTAGTATTTTATTTGAGTTTAGATAAAGACACCACTTGGACCTCCTGTACTGTGGTGGAAAAGGCTTCTCTGGCAGGCTCTAGGGGTACCTTAATTAAAAAAAAAAAGGTATACCTTATTAAGAGGACGAACAATTGTATTAAAAAGATTCATCCATATTCATTTCAAAGTCTTATCTATTAAGAGTGGGATGCCACTAAACTAAAGTGGATGCAAGAAAAAAAAAGCCTAGAGGAGGTATGTGTGAGAGGCTGAATACGGGTCTAGGAAGAACCTTATAATTACCCCTTCCAGTGCCAGGGTACCTGCTCATTCCCCGTGACTTCCCTTGAGTGGGAAGCAGTGCGTCGTACAAAGGGCTTGCTGGCAGCCTTGCTCAAAGCCTACACTGGGGCCCCCCCAAAAGCCACTAATGTCATGCTGAAGAAGGGGTCCTTTTCACATGTATCATTACCATCTCAACAGTATCAAAACATATGGGATTAAAAACACTTGTCAAGAGCAGAAAAGCGGATCAGAATATGCTCTGGTTTTCTGTGTTGGGGGTGGGTGGCACCAGAGTAGGGAATGACAGATGGCTCCAATAACGAGGCCCATCTCGCTGCAGTTACTGGAGCAAAGCATATCTTCAGAACCTAAGAACTGCTTTTGTCTTCCTCAACTCCTGTCTTAGCTAAATACATCTCCGCTCCTTCTGTGTTCATGACTTGTACATTTCTTGGGCACAATCATTGAAACAGGACAAAATGATGAATTTGCAGTGAAGATAAAAAGATGGGTCTTTGCCTTAAAAGTTTATCCTTTTCAGCCCTAAAATGTAGACCTTTTTATCTCAGACTGATGGTAATGCTATCAGAGATAAAATAAAGGAGAGAAAAAAAAAAAAAAACACTAACAGTCTAGATTGAAGTCCTTGATGTATCAACTGTGTTGATAACAAATCCCTGATGCTACTGTGCTGACACTTAATTTTGCTTCATGGCAAAACTTTATTGTATCAACTAGTGTTGTGGTGTCATTTTGGAACAACAGAATATATATATATATATAGAGAGAGAGAGAGAGAGACAGAGAGAGAGAGAGACAGACAGAGAGAGAGAGAGACAGACAGAGAAAGGGCCAAGCACCAGAAATCCAAATGAGAGCTCCCTAATGCAAATCTTTCTTATCCAGCTGTTTTATACAGCTAAGATATTTCCTTAGCTGACAGCTTAATAGCAGAGTGAAAAGAGTTTTTAAAAAAAGCACACCAGGGAGGAAAGAGATTCTAACCAAGCTCTAGATGTGACTAAACAATAACTGTATCTCTTTCCCGCTCTGTATGTATACATTTTCTTAATGCAACATTAAAAATAACAAGGAATCACTCAAGGCACTTAGACTAGGCAAAACCAAATGAACAAGGCGGGGATGTACTTAGGACTCAAGGCAGTCTGGTCTTTTAATCTTCGTGCTGAAAGTAACTTCTATGCCCTTTCTATTTTTAAATTTGGGGTCACTGAGAATTCCTTGACTTTTCTCTGAGGTCTTATTTCTTTCTTTCTTTCACTTACACATAATCTAACAGAGACTTAAGCCATAGCTATTAACTAGGGCTGTCTTTGTAACAGAATGCTTTGATAACATCATCAAGAGGTGGCCGGAGTCACCTTGTTGTAAAAGCAACTTGCTTTTTGTAGGAATTACTTACTTACCCATCTGGTCGGCAATGCTATCCTCGCTCCTTTGCCAGCTGGGTGTGGATTTCCCACTGCCGCCGCCGATGTCTGCCTGGGTGCTCTGCCTGTCAATGGAGGCCGGGGATCTGCGGCTCACTCCAAACCTGTGGGAATTTCCCCAAACAAAGACAAAGACAACATCAGGCACCTCGCCCACGGGAGGAAGGCAGTCCTGGGTGTGATGAGCTAAATTCTAATTGACAGGTACTACTGGTTCTCACTTACGTGTCTGTACTCGTGTGCTCATCCTTGTGGGTGTTTACGTAGGGTGGAAACGTGTATGTTGTGGTCAAGACATACCACTCGGCTCAGAAAGGTATGCGTGCTGTGTATATTCACTGCTTACAAGGGCAAGAGCCATTAGGACTGTGCTAACCTAAGCTATGAACAGTAGGAAACCAAAATCTTCTAGCCCGTGTGCAGGCAGCCTCAGATTGTCACTCATGGCCAAAGAAAAAATTTCACAATCGAAATGTTCCATATATGTCTTCCAAATGGTACATTTTGAGGGTTTCTCTTAACTCAGTGATTTACTAAATCATTAAGTCATTCATTCTTAGAATAAGTATTTTCTGAGCACTTGTTCTGTGGTCTGAAAGACAAAGACGACTATCATTTATATTATGTAGAAACCACTTTCAAAATGTATAAGTTTTAAATTGCCTTTGGGAAGGGCAATTTGAAAGTAGGTAAACTGATATAAATAAAAACAAAAGTCTATTTCTGGAAGGAACATATAGCTATTTAGTGAGCCTGGTTTTTTTTACCTTTTGTAGACTTATAATATATGCGTAATTAAGGCATATGCCTTGATTAGCAATATCAGCAAAGCAAACATTGACCCCATGAAAACGTGTCAGAGTGTGGAATTCAAACATTCACATGAAATGTATTAGTTTATGTGTGGTTGCTAGTGAACTTATGTATAACCTATACAATAAAGGACTAAATAGGGCCTGAACCAGTCAATGCATGTGATGGGTATCGTACTTGCTATAGACTGATAAATGCATGCACAGACTCAGCAAGTGGTGTATTGGAAAGGCAGGACATAAGGAGCAGGAAGACATGGGGCCAAGTTCTAACTCTACCACCTAGCGTGGCTGAAAAAAGTCACTGAATTTTTGTCTCTATTTCTTTATGTGTAAATCAGCAATTCCATTACATGGATCCAAGGATCTATATAAAGCATCTGCAAAGTAGAAAAAGCTATAACAATATTTATTTTATTATTATTCTTTTAGACACAGGGTCTCGCTCTATGGCCCACACTAGAGTACAGTGGTGCAATGATAGCTCACTGCAGCCTTGAATTCCTGGACTCCATGGATCCTCTTGCCTCATCTTCCCCAGTAGTTGGGACAACAGGCATGTGCCACCACACCCAGCTATTTTTTTTTTTTTTTTTTCATTTCTTGTAGAGACAAGGGGTCTATGTTGCCCAGGCTGGTCTTGAACTATTGGCCTCAAGTGATCTTCCTGCCTTGGCCTTCAAAAGTGCTGTGATTATAGGAATGAGCCACCACTCCTAGCCAAAATATATATATATTTAGGACAGTTTCTCACTCTGTCACTCAGGTTGGAGTGATGTGGCCCAATCATAGCTCACTACAGCCTTAAACTCCTGGGTTCAAACAATCTTCCTGCCTCAGCCTCCTGAGTAGCTAGGACTACAGGCTTGCACCACCATACCTGGCTATTTTTATTTTTTATATTTTTTGGTAGAGATGGGGTCTTGCTATGTTGCTCAGGCTGGACTCAAACTATTGGCTTCAAGTGATCCTCTTGCCTCAGCCTCCTGAATCGCTGGGACTATAGGCACATGCCACTGTGCCCTGCTAGCTTTTACTTTTTTGGTAGCAGTGGAAACTAAACAGAACTTTTTAAACCTCTGAATTTAAATATTTTTTTTTCTGACTATCTGGCTTTAAATGAACAATAGGGAAGATTATCTTTAAACTCTGTCTTGAAAAACATTTCACCAAGTGAACTTTTATATTGTGCACTCCTCTCACCCCCCACCCCCCCATTTATTGTGTGCTAGGATATCAGGGATACACAGGCACAGTCCTTGAGGAGCTCAGATAAAACTTGTTCTAAATTTTACAAGGTGCCACTTTTTGGAGAGCTTAATTGTTTGTGCCTTTGTTTGGAGAAGCATTAAATAGTTTAAGAGTCACAGTTATATTTGAATTTTAAATTAACCATTTGGCTGACAAATGAAACACAGTCAGTGACCAGGACTCTGCTTCCTAAGGAAGCATTCCTTTCCATGGTGGGCCGACAGCTCTGAAATATCTTTCTCACAACAAGCTGGAATCATCTTCTCTATAACTTTCATTGACTGGTCCCAGTTGCCCCCACAGACAAGTTGAACCCCTCCTCCTAGGGTGCCGGGAGAAAGCTCTCATGGCCTCCTCCCCTCAGCTTGTACAACCTCAGTCCCGTGTCTCACACATGGTCTCCAAACGCCTCAGTCACCTAGACCCTCCCTTTGGACAGGTCCTGCCTTGTGGGTATTCATCAAAGTGTGTGGCCCCCAAAATAAATCTCCAAGGAGGGTAGAATGGGTCCTGTGTCTTTTACACAGCATTGCTTTTTAACCCACATTCAAGCAGAACAGGTATTCCTAGTCACCCTGTTAGATTTTACCTCTCATCTAATTTGGATGGTCTCAATGTCCTCACCCCAGGGAGTGGGCAGGCATGTGTCACACAGCGTTATATATGTGCAGATGCTGAGTAGTCTACCCAAGTTAAGGGAGGACACTACAGTAGCATATTACATTTATGGACAATCACCTAGCCACAATGTCATGCTCTTGAGCTTTTTAAAGTTTAACATCAACAACTTTGGAGCAAACCACATGCATTCCGGCTTCACTGTCAACTTGCATGTGTCTGTTTTTAGTAGGGGTCAGTTGTAGAGATGAGCATTTTTCCCTTGGTAAGGGTATCTCTAGGATCAAATCTGGCCCATGAGCAATGTAGTGAACCACTGTCCCTTGCACCGCTGATATAAACAAAAATGACTTGGGATCTAGAGGAAAAACATTGCACCATCATCTTCTCATAAAAGATCACCCCAAGTGAAAAAGAAGATACACAGTATGGTAAATAAGCTGGGTGACCTCACAAGCAATGGGGGAACCCTCAGTATCACCTATAGGAGGTTCAGTTAGTAAAAATCAAGTTGAATAATCACTGTCTTATTAACAAAAACTGGGCAGCATGGGCACTGGAATCATGTTTCAACTTAATTTTTTAGTATACATTTAAAGTATATCATAGACAGAAGAAAACAAATTTTGGGGGGTAATATATATTTTATTGCTAGACTAACACTGACATCTCAGTGAATTCTTAGTGTTGAAGTTGAACCAGGCCATTTAGGATCTACTAATTAAATCATGACATAATCAGTTGGGCTTGTGGTATGGTACAATGACATGTAATTCATAAACCTTTTGCAGGGACTCATGAATAAGAGTCCCTGCAATAAAACAATTTTTTTTCTAATTGTTACTTTAGTAATTAACGTAAGAAATGTGCATTTTAGACAAGCTACTGTAGGAGCCCAAAACATGGTGCTTTGACATGCTGCACTGAAGATGCAGCTCCCAGGTCCCCCGGACCTTCCCTGACTCCCTGACCCTCTGCTCCTCTTTCCTGAAGCACCAAAGCACCAGGACGGACTCTGAAATTTCCTTATCTGACTAAGAAAACATCTTTAAAAAAAAATGCAATAGCCTTGAGACCCCCTCCCTAGGACTCTCATGAAATAAGCAGGAAAGCTTAACCACCCAAGAAGAGCAGAGACTGGGAATCACCATCACCCCTAGACTTTTCTTCCATTCTGAGGGCAGCTCTGAGAGATTGCCTGGGGGACCTTATCCACATGAGAAGACTACCTTTGCTCTGCCCCTCACATTCCTACCACCAATCCCAGAGCTTCCAGGAACTGTGTCCCAGGCCACTGTTCTTTGGGCTCATTCATTTCCACTGAAAATTATTTACTACAACACCCCCCCCATCTTCCCCTCCCCTATCAAGAAGGGTATATCAGCAAGTATATGCCACTGGGTTATCAGGTAATCATTCTCCTGCAGTTCCCTCATGATGTGTGTGTTAAAGAAATCTGTGCGCCTTTTCTCCCATTAATCTGTCTACTGAGAGTTCATTTTCAGTGGCCCTCCAGAGAGTGGAAGGGAAGCTTTCCCTTGGCCTCTACACTACACCAAGAGAGTCCTGGGGGAGATAGCAGGGTGGGGGAAGCATATTTTATAGTGGCTTTATTAACTACTTTCTGTTAACATAAACATTTAGCAACATTTAGATATAACAACAAATGATACTTAATGGCTATGCATGAAAAATATCCATTATAAGAGTATTATTAGTAAGCATGCTTATTTTGTGACATAGTGAAATCTCAAGAAAGTAACCAAATCACGTGTCCATTGGTTAAGATATATTTGGGGGAAAGTGTAGAATAGAAATACCAGCTTTTATAAACACCTCCCACTTGATTTTCAAGTGGTTCAAGTTCCTGAGAGAGAGAACTCCCAGTAGGAAGTCTTTGATGGTTATTTCACTCTTCCTCCAGGCAAAGGTGGCTTGTGTATGCCATGTGTGTTTTGCTCCTAATTACTTCCCATTTCAGACACTGCATTTTTCTTCCCTTTTAGTGGCTTCTAAAGTCATGTATATTTAGGTTTTTATCGTGTAAGTCTTTTTAGAAGCAAACAGTTACTTTTGAGCAATTAGTGTTTCATGAAAGATTTTTTAAAAACAAACCCTCAAGAGACTTAAAGTGTGTGACAAATAATTTTAAGCTTTAGATGTGATTATCATTTCCTGTCTGTGAACAGTAGCAATACAAACTCCAGTGCAAGTGGTATTCTGCCGAGTTCACTTTGGAGGAAATATTAAGAAGTGAACTGTGAAATTAAACAATATATATAAAATGAAGAAACCAATGCAATGTGATTTCTCTGCCACTGAGTTTTTCATAGAGACGAGAGAATAGTAAAGTTCCTATATAGCAGTTTGAACCAATTGTTAAAACGTTTTTCTATCTAGATTATTACCTACAGATTGATCAAGGCTGGCTGAATTGAAATCGCCTCACATGTCTGAGTACAGACAAAAGACAGTGGGGTCAGCAGTGACCACCTACGACAGGACAAACGCATACCTACCCTTCGGGCATGGACTTCTGCCTGTAGGTGCCCCCCCCAGAGCCAGTGTCACTGGACGAAGAAAGATTGCTGGGGGAGTTTCGACACTGGGATCTTGCTAACGCCATGGATGAGACTGTCACATAGATGTCCGAGCCAGGAGACAGCCTGCATGTGCAAACCAAACACAAGAAGTCAACAATTAGAAGGGAAAATCCCAAGGCAATGCATGATGGATAACATCATATAAATGTGACAAAGGCTGCGACTTCATGGAGATAGTGAAAATGAAGCCAGCTGGAAGCCTACAAAAGAAACTTCCCCACAAAACTACTCCCTAGGGGAACAGCTGGAAAACCGCCTTGAGGGGGGCGGGGATGTCAAAAAATAACAGGAGGAGAGGGGAAAAAAAAAGATCTAGAAAACATGTATGCTTCTAAAACCTGCCAGAATTCAACTGGCTGAACTGCTTATGCAGTTTCCTAGGATGGCAGAGCAGAAGATAACTGAACCCAAGTGATATTAACATAGCAATTAATTTCAATTTCTCCTACTGATCCTCCCAGTGTATATGACCACAGTGAGACTGATATATTTTTTGTATGCTTTTTTGTTTTCCAATTTTATTACTCAAACTCTGGAATGAATGTTTAGATTTTGCTATTTAATATTCATAATTTGGGTTGAGAGTAGCATCATCATTTAAAAGCTCCATGAAAAAATGCCTAGCACTGCAGTCGGTGGATTTAATTAGAATTACTGAATGCATATAATACCAGAGTAGAAATGTGCTCCACATGGGTAATTAATGTATTTGTTTCTAAAGTTATGTATCCCTCATCCTGCCAACTGGAGGTCAAGGCAGAAACCAGAGGTTTGTGGCCAGGACAGACATATTTTTTCCCCTCTACCTCCTCTATTCTAGCAGGCAACAGGCAACCACAAGGCTATACCAGTAAGTGATGCTGACAATTGTGACTAGGTATAAACGAAACCTTAATGACAATGATATTTTCTTTCAGCAGCTAAAGCTGGCACAAATCACCTGACTCTTGTAGCAGGGCAGGTCATTTCTCTCTTATAGCTGAGGAAGTGAAATCTAAGTCATTTGGTCAAGGTCACAATAAGCCAGGTCTCTTAATGCTAAGTCGACTGCACTCTATGCTAAACTACTGCCGTCCCCTAGAGAAGGCTGGGTTTTCTTTTCTTAATAAAACTGCTAGCAGCGGGTCTGCATGGTCAGACAGGTTTGCACATAAAGCCTTGGGATAGAACCTTGTTCACAGGAATAAAGCAATGTCCCACAGTGAACCTATGTACCCTCTGTAGAGAGGCAGGATGGGGTTACAGGTACAGACAGCTGACAGAAGGGATAAAGGAATCACAATGAAAAGGTTTTCTAATAAAAAAGAACAAGGATAGACACTAAAAAGTAAAACTCCTCAATTCGTCCATACCCAAGAGGCAAATGTGACTGGAGAGCTCAGATTCCTCTCCAGTTGTTTCCTAGATGTCTCTACTGAACACCTTCACCAGCCATTCAAATGAAACCTCTTACAACCTAACAGATTCAGTATATTGTAGGCTTGGAGGCAAGATGGAGGACTAAAGACACTGGTCACCAGATCGTCTCAGAAAGAAGGTAAAATTTTAGGTTAAAAAAAAGAAACATAGCCAGGTGTAATTTTGAGGGGAAAGTGCCAAAACCTACCAGAGATTCCACGGGAAGAAGTTGTGGAGCAGAACAAGGAGGAGTAAGGTTTTGGCAGAAATCAACCCCTGAGGAATGTGGAGCCCATGGAAAGGGGAGGTGGGGTGTTTGCTTTTCTTTCCCTCACACCTCTTGCAGACTACAGGCTCCAGAACTGTAGGAGAGCTGCTCTGTCCTCACAAGCCCAGGAGCTGCTGCTGCCAGCAACTGGGAGATTCCTGGGAGCAGAGCACTGGGCTGCAGGCCCCCTTGGGGTTGCTTCCCGTCACCCAGACCCAAGCCAAGACAGCGGGTGCCACACTGCTTTTCCACCCACTGTGCACCTTTGTCCTCCCCAGGAAGCCTCAGCCCTTCAGTTTTCTTGTCACTGGCCCCCACTCCCTTCACAAACATTTCCCAACTCTTGCTCAGACTGCAGTGGCCACAGGGGGCCAGTGGGTCCCAGGGGAACTGTGTGATCCCAGAGCTTGGACATTTAGGGTAGGCTGCCTTCAGGGGAAAGGAGAGTGCAGCAAGCCAAGGGAGGCCCTTGGGACAAAGGGGACCAGAATGCCAGTTCTCCTCTATTCAGACTCTTCTCCTGCTCCTGCCCTACCTCATGCACAGCGGAAGTTCCCATGTGAGTCTGCATGGGTGCCCCAAGGAACGACTGTGCCAGTGCTCTCAGGGGTGGCTGCTTCCCCTCTGTTGGTATATCTACCACATTGAGGGTTCCACAAAGAGTGGGGCTCACCCCTTTCCTCTTGAAGACCTGCAGTGGACCAAGGAGTGCTCAGACTGTGAGCTCCCTGCCTGCCAACTCTCCCCATTACTGCCTGCTTGGCTGCTCCAGCAGAGCAGGGCATACCTTGAAGCAGAGGGACACTAAGCTTGCTTGAGCATGCGATGGGCAACTTGGGACCAGCATGCTATGCCCTGGCATGGTCAGAGATTATTAAACTTGGGGGATCAGAGGACAGGCCCACAGGCTGGATTCCATACCCTCAGGACTCAATCATGTTGCTTGGGGGCATTGAGGGGAGATTTGTGAAGTGGTCTCAGGAGGTAAGGGAGCCCACATGGGCAGAACTAAAAGGAGAATGCGGTGTGGGTCTGAGCTGCAGCACACTTGCAGAGCACCCCTCCCTCATAGGAAAGCAGCCCTTTCAGTCCGGGGCAGGATCCTGGGCAGAAAAGTGCCCAGCCTGCGGTGTCATTGCTGGGGAGCTCAGCTGGTTCGGGCTGCTGCTTGTGGCCAGATCCTGGAAGGAGATCTGAAGGGCAAGGAAAGAGGGAGAAGAGTGAAACCCACTCCCATCTGCCAGACTGTGAATGCCAGACTACCTCTCCCTGACGAGCAGAGGTTTCTGGCTTGGTGGAGTCATTGTAGCCCCTCCCTGGTGGCTTTCTCTAGTGGCCTGCCCACCACCTGGGGCATCTGAGTACTTCTCCTGATTGAATAAAGCTGGTCACAGGTTCCAAAAAACACTGCCGTAGCTGGCTTTTTCCTGCAAGTGCCCATTAAAGCATTTATTGACTCCATCATGCAGGGTGTGGCTGACTCTTATCCATAAGCACCACCTACTGTCTCAGAGATTAAACTGGGCATCCCAACATAATTCATACTGTTAAGAAAACAACAGGGCTAGGGAGAGAAAGGATTTCAAAGACCTCCATCTCCCCTTGCTGACAAGAGATAGGGAATCTGCCCATGTGCACAGCACACCACTGCTACAGCCTACAAATAACTAGCAATTGAGAAAACCACCACATTAAGGATATCTATAACCAAGGTATCCACCTAGACCCCCCTCAAAATACCCACAGGCAAAGCCAAAGATCCTTACTCAACATATGCTACAGACACATCCTTAAGAGTGAAGGGGAAAAAAAGTCTAACCTAAATAAAAGAAAATCCAAGAACAAGAAGTGACAGCTGCTCCAGCTGAGAAGGAATCAGTGCAAGAACTCCAGAAGTATAAAAAATCAGAGTAAAAGGATACCCCAGAGGAGCACACCAACTCTCTAGCAATGGATCTCAACCAAAATGAAAATACTAAAATGACAAAGAATTCCAAAGATAGGCTGTAAGCTCAGTGAGAAGCTCTAGAGAAAGCTCTAGAGAAAATGGAAAACCAACCCAAAGAAACGAGAAAAGTAATTCAGAAAATGAATGAAAAATGTACTAAAGAGGTACATATTTTTTAAAAAATAGAACTTCTGGAAATGAAAAATTCATTTGGGGAAATTCAAAACACAGCGGAAAGTTTTAAGAATAGACTAGACCAAGCAGAATAGGGAATCTCAGAGCCTGAAGACAACTCTTTCGAATTAACCCAGTCAAAAATAAAGAACAAAGAATCAAGAGGAACAAAGTCTACAAGAAATATGGGATTATGTAAAACAGCCAAATATAAGAATCATAGGCATCTCTGAGGGTAAAGAAGAAAAAGCAAAAGGTCTGGAAAACCTATTTGAGGGAATAATCTAGGAAAACTCCCCAGGTCTTGCTACAGATTTAAACATCTAGATACAAGAAGCTCAACGAACACCCAGGAGATTCATTGCAAAAAGGGTATCACCAAGACATATAGTCAACAGACTGGTCAAAGACAAAGGGAAGGAGGAACTCCTGTGAGCCATGAGGTGAAAATATCAAGTAACTTATAAAGGAAAACCCATCAGACCAACTCCAGACTTCTCAACGAAACCTTACAAGCCAGAAACAAAATAACTGCCAGGCAAGAACTTTGTATCCTGCAAAACTAAATTCCATAAATGAAGGAGAAATAAAGTCTTTCCCAGACAAGCAAACACTAAGGGAATTTGTCACCACTAGACCTGTCCTACGAGAAATGTTTAAAAGTATTCTGTACTTGGAACAGAGTAATTGATACCAAGAAGTGTGAAAACATCCAAAAGTTAAAACTCACAGCCCTTACAAAACAGTAACACAATAGAGAGAACAAAGCAACTAGGTAACAAAATGACAACCAGAATAGTATCTCACATATCAATAACAACATTGAATGTGAATGGTCTTAATGTACCCCACTCCCTGCAAAAGATTGGTTGAATGGATTAAAAAACACAACCCAAATATTTGCTGTGTCCAATTAAATTGGTGTCCAAGAAACTGATTTAACTCACAGAGATTTTCGTAGATAAAGGGGTGGAAAAAAATATTCCATGATATTCTCTTATCAGATAAAATAGACTTTTAATCAACAATGTTAAAAAACAAAAAGATAAAGATGCTCATTACATAATGATAAAAGGATCAATTCAACAAGAAAATATAACAATCTTAAATATATATGCACTTAACACAGGAGCTCCCAGATTCATAAAACAAATTCTACTAGATCTAAGGAAAGAAATAAACAGCAACATCGTAACAGCTGGGGACTTCACCATTCCACTGACAGATCATTGAGGCAGAAAATCAACAAAGAAACAATGAACTTAAATGGGACTC